TTGAATGGAACACCGGGTTCTTGTCAGCAATAATTTGCAGGAGTTATTGGTGCAAAGTCAAACAGCAATGGATTTCAAGTCAGGCATCCTTAGAAGAGGTGTCTCCTTGTTTCAGAACTGAGTGCCTACTAGTCCTTGTGCTGGCTTGACAGGAATGTTCATAAGATGTAAGGAATGTTACTTCTAGAAGGTGATAGGTTTGTTTTTGACCTGGTAATTGTCAAGATATTTTTGGAAGCAGACAACTTGTTTGATAGCAGCCATATTAAAATCTGACAAATGTCCGTTTCAAAAAATTAAACAGATAATTTTGTTTCTTAAAAAAAACGACAATTTAGAATTTCACTGTGTATTAGTTTATTCTGTATCTTCATACACCTTTAGTTCTGCCTTTGAGGAACAGTGAGGAAGTGTTGGAAGTATTGTTGAATTGCATCATCAACACTTCTCCCGTGGCCAATGAGTGTTGGAGTTGTACATGAACCCAGAGCTTCTAGCACAGAGGTAGAGACACCACCCACTGAGACACAATTCCTCCTTGTGCATTGGCAATATCACAATCCTTTCCTATTGCTTTGTTTGCTGTTTTAACACAGCCAATTTTTTTGAATTGTGTGAACATCCAGACAATATCACTAAAGCAGATGTGATCAATAGCAATTGTTCATTTTGTATCTTGACTATAAACCAGTCACTGAAAAACTTTACAAAGTCACTGAATTGGTACCAGTTTATTTCTTAGAAATTTCCTCTTATCACAATTATTCCAAAGGCCACGTATGGGCCCAGAAGTGCAGAGAAGAGAGTAGGCCCAGCTATTCAACATGGCAGCACCGGCACAGTAAGCCCATCCACTCCAGACTGACTATATATTTTTTCTCTCTTCTTTTGTCTGTTTTCTTTTTATTCTTCTTTCCTTCATCTTCCTGACATGGTGGGGTGGCCAGAGGAGTGTCGGCGGTGCCCAGAGTGGGGACTCCTGGCTTTGTAGGCCCGATGTGTGGATTCCTGGAATTGGCGCTGAAGTATTGGCTGTAGCGATGGTGGAGCAGGGACTCCTGGCTGTAGGCCTAAAGCAGGGACCTTGCAGAGACCTTACCTAAGTCCTGGTGCCATGTTTGGGACCCCAGCCAATGAAGATGAACTCAATTTAAGTCCTTTCTTTTATTCTTTTGTACCTCAAAATGACACCAGAACGTGGCAACAGAACACTTCTCACTGGATGTATGTGACAATTAATCATTCATTCATTAAATCAGTCATTCATTCATTCATAATGATAGAACATCATGCGACTATCCTCAACACTAATTTAACTTGTAAGTGATTATATCATTATCGTAAAAGGTACGTGTAAATTAATTTTTTGTTCAAATTATTGCAAGCTCAATTAAGTTTGATTTGTCCTTAATTCTATTAAGGACTTAAAGAAATAACGTCCATTTATATTGTGCCTTTCACAATGAGATTGCCCAAAACGCTACATAGCCAATGTACAGCTCAAATGTAATCTTGTAAGAAAGGAGATCATTGTATGCAAATCCATTGGTCAGATCAGACCTGGAGTACTTCATCTAGTTTTGGTTCCCCTACCTGGTACAATGAAATTGGAAAAGAACCAGAGGAAAGCATTAAAACTGAATCCTAGCTACAGCTTCAGTTACTCAGATAGGTTCAAGAACCTAGGTCTGATCACATTAGAGAAGCATAGACTTTGAAGTGACCTGATTGAGGTGTATAAAATAGTTAAAGGCCTGGATAACTTGATGGATTGTTCCAGTTGTAGAGTAACTTTTAACACAGGAGAAAACTTTGGCATATAGGACTGAAAAGGATGCAGGGTAGAAAGTTCAGCTCTGGGCAATGGCTGCTTTTCTGTAGCTCAGTTAAAGGTGTGTTTTCCAGTAACAATGAAGATGATTTACATTTAGGTGACTGCTACTTCATGCTGCAGCTGGTGCTAAAACAGACAGTCCATTCAGTAGCTAGACTGCACCTTAATTCTTTGAGAATAATTACTTAAAAATGTATATGCCAAAGGGAACATGAGGAAAACTGAATTGTAGTTCTATAGCATAATTATTCCTGTGAAGAGAAATCAGAGTTAACGTTTCAGGTCCAGTGACCCCATATTTCTCTTCACAGATGCTGCCAGTCCTGCTGAGCTTTTCCTGCAGCATCTGCAGTTCTTTCAGTTTTTATTACATATTTATTTGGTTTGGTCTTGCACATGAAGAATACAATGGAGATGCAAGTTGTTGCTATGAAGACCTCCATGGTGGAAAATGCTTAATGTTAAATTGGTTGGTAGTGGATGCGCAGTCAATCGTCCTTTGCTAAAACTGGAGGTCAATCAACAATGCACCCTTCTGCTACAAGTTGAATTTTACCTCCCTAGCATTTATCTGAATGCTTCAGGTACCTTTAACGTTATAACACCAGATCAATGTATGCTTCTTCAGTAGGTGCTGCCTGATACATGCAATGAAGATGTTGGTTTATTACTTTCATCTCTGTCATTCGCAAATTTTAGCAATTGTGTTTAGTTCTTTGTTTAGTTCTGAAAACAAAGTAGAGCAAACTTGTGTAGTACTTGATTTGGACATCATGAAAAGATCAATAAAGTTCGAAAAGTGAATGATATGGATACTTACTTGTCTCAACATGACGTACATTTGTAGCCTCAAATGTTCCTTATTTACTGGTGTTTCCCAAATTATTTCACCACCATAAACGAACTTTGAGGCTTGAAGCTTGTCATGACCCACTTGGTGAAACTTGGTAGAGCAGGTGTGGTGATGGGGGAGTGTTGAGGAGGAGACCTGAGAGAGTAAGCAGAGGTGAGGTCCTGTCTGTCTGTAAGGATTCATTCAGAAGTCCCAGAGCAGCCAATACCACTAGGGAGCTTGTTTCCCCAAAATTTCAGCTCACGACCCCACCTAGAACCTTGCCCAGACCCCATCCTTCCTAGTTTGTGAGGTTGGTAACAGGTTCTTGAAGTAACGAGTGTATCAGCATGAAGCTTTGGAATTGTTAGCAGTGTTAAATGCTCCATTGCTGCCCTCTAATGCCCAATCATGCACACTGCAGAGATCGACTGATAAATTCCAGAAGTCATTGCACGTGTATGTATTCATAAAATGTTAGTTGGATGCAGCTTATGCTGTTTAATAGTGAAATGGATTTCTTTTTGTGTGTAGCCTGGATTTGTAATGTATAAAATTAAAATTAAAATGTGATGGATGAGGACTGAACAAAATATCTTTGTCAGCAACAGCTAAAGAAAGAGAGGAGTAAGCCTTTTGAGATGCTTCAGTGGTAAATGGTCCAGGAAGGGGTTTGCTATTTACAATCCTAAATATTTTACCAGTGACAACTCACCCTGGTTTTGCATAGCCATACTTTTTGCTGTTTAAGACGCTCTTTCTGTTCAATTCATACAGCACAGCATATGAACAGCTGACCTTCTGGGAGCTCCCGGAGTGAAGGGTACCTGAGGGTAGACTTTGATTCTCAGTCATTTCTGGCACATTTGAAAATAAAAAGCACAGGGCCCTCTGCAATTGATAGCTCAAGGGTTAGCGACTTTCATCCTCCAGGTTAAAGTCAGCAGTTCCCAGAAGAACAAAGCAGTAGTCGGAGTATGTTTGAATTTTGCAGCTGGAAGGCAATAGGTTTATCTGTGTTTTTAAAAGTCCGGAGCATCTCGGCCAGATAAACCAAGTAAGAAGTCTTCAGTTTCAGGGGCATTGTTTAGAAAGGAAGTGAGATATTTATATACACCAACGGAAAAAACTCAGTCCATTGTTTTAGCTGTTCACTTATTTCATAAGTAACTTTTTTTTACTTTATGTTGTAAGAGTATATATCAATTCTGTTCAGCTTGCAAACTGACCTATGCCAATATGAGTTACATTTGGCTTTAAGCCTCAATTGAAAGGTAGCAGTAGCCTGCAGGAACCAAACAAGCATCTAATGCAACTGGCTAACTGCATGTTGGCAACTTCAGAACACTGAATAGTGAGCAAAGCCAAGAGGCAAGAGCCCAGGCTAACGGCAGCATTCAGTAATGAAAAGCCTTTTGTTTTTTGAACCATTTCCAATGTTTCCTTTAAAGATGACTGATATTTTAATTCAGGACCTGGTGCAACTAGATGGAGCTTGTGGGGAGCAAGTTCCATCCATTTATCAGAATGGATATCAGAATCTTATATTGAGGATCCTACAACTGGAATAGGATCCCTGTATCTGCTGTAAAGGGCCTCATTTCACACAGCCAAGAATATGACAATGTGTGGGTCTGGGGAAAATAGGCATCTATTGGCACAAACTCAGTGTTCGATTCCTGTCCACCTGCTTTTCATGTGGAAATGAATGGTTGTGATTAATCCCATGGGTGAATTTCAGCGTAAATCAGCTAAGTTGGGTCAAGATGTTTATCATCTTGTAGCGCTGTTATCTTACAACCAGAGGCAGACAGTAGATATGAAGAGAGAATTTTATTGATCTCCATCCTTTTTCTTTCCTCCCTCCTGTACAATTGACTGCTTGCTTGGATATTACTGCACAGGCAGTGGGCTATCTCCAATAACTTAGCTGTGGCTGTTATTCGCATGTAAATCTAGACAGTGAACAGCAGAAAACTATTCAATACTGGGTTTGCACAGCTGTCCCTGAGTCATATGTTAACCAACATGTGCATTCGAACAGGGTTCAATGAAAAGCAATAAATAGCTGGCACTTGACTCTCCCTGTACCAGCAGCACAAATTGAAGTCATTCACAGTGCTACTGTTTGCTGGCCCTACTGTGTTCAGCTTACCTGACAAACCTTCCTTTTATTTAGTTCAGCAAACCATAAAGCTATCTCACTAAGCACTGGAGGATTTTGGGTATCAGATATCTATTCAAAATGAAATGTAAATTGCTCATAAGCAACAGCAACATTGCAGCCTCTTAATCTTACTGAAACTAATTGTTGTTATGTGCTTCTTTGTTTAGCTGGTGAGGTATACGACAGATAGATATCTGTACCTTGGGTCCCTGGGCTCTACTGTCCTACTGCCAGACACCCGTTGCCTAGTGGACAACAAGAAAAGCCGATTTCCTCAGCTTCTAGATTGCGAAAAAGTGAAAAATGTTTACCAGAAGTCCTGGCGCTTTGTACAGGTTAGTGGTCCCTGGTAGCAGGACTTTCTCCCTCAAATGCTGAAATATTGCAAAAATATAAATCTCATAATGAGTTTCTTTCAAAAATGGAGTTAATGCCACAAAGGCTAATGTTTGCATCTGAATCTAGAGTTGCATCTGAGATTGTGCTCCATCAGTAGTAACTTTTTAATTGCACAACCGTCAGTCCACACGTGGGCAGTACACCAGTGATTTGCTGAAGATATGTGCTCTCAGAACGCAAGACAGCGTGGGTTCATGGGCATTGACAAAGAATGTGTGGGGGAGAGATAATTTGCCAAAGGTGCTTAGTGAGAGATTTTGCCGAGTAGCCTCACCATTCAAAGCTTTTAAAACATGAGTGAGTTAAGAATAATTCAGTTCAGGGACACCCTTTTTTTTAATAATCTGTCTTGAATTTTTCATCTCATAAAACAAGGAAAGAAAGCATAATTAGAATGAGGGAAAATCTTAACAGTTCCTCAAAAACCAGAAAATAAAGACTCTATTTACTCAATGTCTCCTCATTAGAAAATCCTCTCATCCCAAGATTTAACCTATTAACCGATTTTTAAGAATGATATCAGGGCGGTAGTGAGAGATGATATAGGTTCTACTGAACAAAACGTTAAATCCATTTGGGTGGAAATTAGGAATAGCAGGGAGAAGAAGTCACTGATAGGTGTGGTCTATAGGCCACCAAATAATGACATCGTGGTGGGGCAGGCAAAAAACAAAGAAATAGCTAATTTCTGTAAAAATGGTACAGCAATTATCATGGGGGATTTTAATCTACATATCGATTAGTCAAACCAGGTCGGTCATGGCAGCCTTGAGGGGGGGTTCGTAGAATGCATCCGCAATAATTTCCTTAAACAATATGTAATGGAACCTACGAGGGAGCAAGCTATCCTAGATCTAGTCCTGTGTAATGAGACAGGAATAAATAATAATCTCACAGTTAGGGATCCTCTCGGAAGGAGCGATCACAGCATGATCAAATTTAAAATACAGATGGAGCGTGAGCCGGTTAAATCCAGTACCTATGTCCTGTGCTTAAACAAAGGAGACTATGAAGGAATGAGGGAGGAGTTAGCTAAGGTAGAATGGGAGCAGAAACTTTATGGTGGGTCAATTGAGGATCAGTGGAGGACTTTCAAAACGATTTTTCACAGTGCTCAGCAGAATTATATTCCAGTGATAAGGAAGAATGGTAGGAAAAGAGAGATCCAGCCATGGATGTCTAAGGAAATAAAGGAAAGTATCAGATTGAAAAAAAACACACACAAAAAAGCAAAGAGTAGTGGGAAACTAGTAGACTGGGAAATCTTTAAAGGCCAACAGAAAGCCACAAAAAAAGTTATAAAGAAAAGTAAGATAGATTATGAGAGTAAACTAGCTCAGAATATAAAAACAGGCAGCAAAAGTTTCTATAAATATGTAAATCGTAAAAGAGTGGCAAAGGTAAACATTGGTCCTTTAGAGGATGAGAAGGCCAATTTAATAACTGGGAATGAGGAAATAGCCGAGACATTAAACAGTTATTTTGTGTCGGTCTTCACAGTGGAAGACACAAATAACATACCGAAAGCTAATGGCAAGAAGGTTATAGCAGGCGAGGATCTAGAAACTATCATTATCACTAAGGAGGCAGTGCTGGGCAAGCAAATGGGGCTAAAGGTAGACAAGTCTCCTGGCCCTGATGAAATTCATCCCAGGGTACTAAAAGAGGTGATGGGGGAAATAGCAAATGCACGAGTAATTATTTACCAAAATTCACTGGACTTTGGGGTGGTTCCCGCAGATTGGAAAACAGCCAATGTGACACCACCGTTTAAAAAAGGAAGTAGACAAAAAGCAGGTAACTATAGGCCAGTTAGCTTAACTTCGGTAGTCGGGAAAATGCTTGAATCTATCATTAAGGAAGAAATAGCAAGACATCTGGATATAAATTGTCCCATTGGAAACACCCAGCATGGGTTCATGAAGGGTAGGTCATGTTTAACTAATTTGGTGGAATTCTTTGAGGACATTACTTGCATGGTGGACAATGGGGAACCTGTGGATGTGGTGTATCTGGATTTCCAGAAGGCATTTGACAAGTTGCCACACCAAAGGCTGCTACATAAGATAAAGTTCCACCGTATTACAGGTAATATATTGGCATGGACAGAGGATTGGTTGACCAGTAGAAAGCAAAGAGTAGGGGTAAATGGGTGTTTTTCTGGTTGGCGGTCAGTGGCTAGTGGTGTGCTTCAGGGATCAGTGTTGGGACCGCAATTGTTTACAATTTATATAGATGATTTGGAGTTGGGGACTAAGTGTGGTGTGTCAAAATTTGCAGATGACACTAAGGTGAGTGGTAGAGCAAAGTGTGCAGAAGACACTGAAAGTCTGCAGAGGGAAATAGATAGTCTAAGTGAGTGGGCAAAGATCTGGCAGATGGAGTACAATATTGATAAGTGTGAGGTCATCCATTTTGGTAGGAATAACAGCAAAATGGACTATGTTTTAAATGGTAAAAAATTGCAGCATGCTGCTGTGCAGAGGGACTTGGGTGTCCTTGTGCATGAATCACTAAAAGTAGGATTGCAGGTACAGCAGGTAATTAAAAAGGCAAATGGAATTTTGTCTGACATTGCTAGAGGGATGGAGTTTAAAAACAGGGAGGCTATGCTGCAGCTGTATAGGGTCCTGGTGAGGCCACACCTGGAGTACTGTGTGCAGTTTTGGTCTCCTTTCTTGAGAAGGGATATACTAGCACTGGAGGGGGTGCAGAGGAGATTCACTCGGTTGATTCCAGAGTTGAGAGGGTTGGATTATGAGGAGAGCCTGAGTAGACTGGGATTATACTCATTGGAATTCAGAAGAATGAGGGGAGATCTTATAGAAACATATAAGATTATGAAGGGAATAGATAAGGTGGAGGCAGGGAGGTTGTTTCCGCTAGCAGGTGAAACTAGGACTAGAGGGCATCGCCTCAAAATAAAGGGAAGCAGATGTAGGACTGAGGTCAGGAGGAACTTCTTCACCCAAAGGGTTGTGAATCTATGGAATTCCCTGCCCAGTGAAGCGGTTGAAGCTACCTCGCTGAATGTTTTTAAGGCAAGGCTAGATAAATTTTTGAACAGTAAAGGAATTAAGGGTTATGGTGAGTGGGCGGGTAAGTGGAGCTGAGTCTCAAAGATCAGCCATGATCTTATTAAATGGCGGGGCAGGCTCGAGGGGCCAGATGGCCTACTCCTGCTCCTAGTTCTTATGTTCTTATGAACTTTTGCTGAGCTGCTTGAATTGCAAATATGTCCTTCCTTAAATTTGGAGATCAAAATTGCATACAGTCATCAAGGTGTGGTCTCACTAAAAGCCTGTACTGTCGTAGAAAAACTTCCTTATTACTGAACTCCAGCCCTTGCAAGAAAAGGCAAACATTTGATTTTCTAACTGATTGCTGTGGCTTTTTTTTAATATTTATTCATGAGATGATGACATCGCTGGCTAGACAGCATTTATTGTCCATCCCTAATTGCCCAAAGGGCAATTAAGAGTCAACCACATTGCTGTGGGTCTGGAGTCACATGTAGGCCAGACCAGGTAAGGATAGCAGTTTCCTTCCCTAAAGGACATTAGTTGAACCAGAAGGGTTCCTGACAATCAACAATGGATTCACAGTCAACATTAGACTCTTAATTCCAGATATTTATTGAATTCAAATTCCACCATCTGCCATGGCAGGATTCGAGCCCAGGTCCCCAGAATATTACCTGGATTAACAGCCCAGCAATAATACCCCTGGGCCATTGCCTTCCCACTAGCTGCATGCTAAATTTTTGTATTCTTATTACAAGCTAATTCTCTCTGAGCTTCAACATTTTATTAGTTCCAAACTTAAAACAAAATAATACAAAATAATCCAATTATAATACAAAAGAGAAAAACTTCATATATCCAAATATTATAATCCAACTGTCTCCGTTTTGCCTGCTCACTTAGCCTGCCTATACCTTTTATCCAGACCCTCTTTATCCTGCTCTCAGCTAAAATTTCCATCTTGTGTTACATCATTACAGAATCACAGAAGTTATAGCACAGGAGGCCAGTCAGCCCATCATGCCTCTGCTGGTTTGTTAAATGAGCATCATTACCCTAGTGCCAATCTCCGACATTTTGCCCATACCTTGTACAATATTTTTATCCAAATAATTATCCAACGCTCCCTTGAATAAGCAAATATAAATACATTTCTACCTGACTCTTTGTCAAAGTCATTAATATAATTTGTAAGTAGCTGAGGTCTTCATACTGATCCTTGTCCACTAATCACAGCCTGCCAAGTTGAAATGCTCATTTTTAGTCATAGAATCAGAGTTATACAGCACAGAAACAGAACCTTTGGTCCAACTCATCCATGCCAAACAGATATCTTAATTAATCTTGTCCCATTTGCCAGCATTTGTGCCTTTACTCTGGTGATGGTCCATTAACCAACCTTACATTTTGGGGATGTTTGAATGTGTTGAACGTTGAATGTGTTGTGCAAATCCAGGTAGATTATTTACTCATTTCCCTTTAACCTGCTAATTACATCCTCAAAACCTCTAATAAATTTGAAAAAATGATTTCCCTTTTATAAAATGATTTTGACTCTATCTGATCATACGTCGATTTTCTAAGTGCATTGTTAATTGGGCGTGTGCTGGAGAATTAAAACCACAGGTGATTAGAAGCTTGGCCTTATGTTTGTGAACCAAATCGAGGTGCTATGCAAAAGGGTTGTGCAGTCTGGATTTAATTTCACCGATGTAGAGAAGTCATTGTCACTGCTTGACTGTTCCTAGATACTTCATTGTTGCAGCATCAGAATTTCTGTGGCCGTTGACAGGGTTGTACCTGGGACAAAGACCCATTCCGTCTGATAGCTGCAGAGATCTTCAGCAGCATGAATTTCACTCCCTAAAATCTACGATATAAGGGAATCAATCTCAAAATACAAACTTATTTAGAATCTCAAACAACCAAAAGGACAGACTTGGTGACAAATTAATAATTTCAAACCTTTTCAATGAGGGTGACATCCGCTTTTGAGATTGGGATCAGTTGAGTAAAAGTCATGAATAAAAAGCAGTTTATTTCAATTTTCAACATTCAATAAGTTTGTCTTGTGTCTCTTCAGAATGGATCAATCCTTAATCTGGAAACTGGCCGTTGTTTAGAGGTGGAGAATAGCAAAAAAACCGATTTTGGAATGGAGCTGGTTTTACAGCAATGCTCAGGACAAAAATGGACAATTAAAAATGTCTTAAAGCAAGCAATCTAGTCATGGACAGGAAGCTGGAATTCTTTGTACTGCAATAGACTAGAAACTTTAGAACGCTGTTGTTATGGATTTTGACAAGTCTCAAGTCTCCAACACCATTCAGGTGATTGATACAAATCCAAACTGGACTATGTCTTCAGGCCAGGATTTAATTTTATTTTTATTTTTATTTTGAGATTTAGAAATATGAAAATCATTTTATTGAATGTTCTAATGTTATCAAATGAAAAGAAGTCTGTTGGAAAATATCTGTACAATAAATTAAAATATTATCTGTGTTTAAAATTTGTATAGTATACACTGTAAAGTACCTTGGTCAAAGCTAACCATTGATATATGAGGCTAAATGAAATAAGCGCGGTTATTATTTTTCAACAATTATGTGTCAATATGTTTCATTTTAGATTTCATGTTGATACTTAGCCTTTGAAGATTGTGTGATCTTAGTTTGGGCAATTATCCCAGTGTGCATGAATCCACAAGTGCTAAACTGCCTTCACATTTGAAATGAGCTTGTCATCAAGTACTGGTATTATATACATCAACTAGAAATGCCATGAAGAGTATTAAAATGGAATGGAACTATTGCACTGATGCATTGCAGAATGATCTGCAGTTGGGGTTCCAGCACTTTGCTGCGTAAGTGCTGAGCTAGAGAGTTCTGCACTGTTCCTCACTGTGGTAAACATACTGTCACAGTTCTCACTGTTTCACAGTACCTCGGTTTTGCACCTTGGTAAACACATACAGATTTAAAGCAAAAAGAACAAATATTGAAAACTTGCCAAATATCGTCATTGGATACAATGGATCCTCTTATTCGTGGAATAATTTTGCAAAGGGGTAAAAGGCTAAGAATGGAACAATACAACAGAATTCAACCAAACAGGATCCTGTATGGCACAGATCAAAGGGGACAGAAATATGACATACAATAAGATTGATTTTGTCGGAACAAACTAGGACTTGGTACAACTTTTGAAATACATTGTCAGGAATTTCCTTGTATCAATATTGCATTTGCTGTCTGTGTGTGTTGTTGTAAAAGTGAAATAAAGATGTGGCAGAGCCACCAAAAGATACTAAACTGTTGGAAAGGATTAACTCAAAAGTCGAACAAGGGTTTGCAAGATACCACTACAAATGTGTTGACGTGGACTGCACACAGCATCGCTGACACCAAGGTATTGTGTGGGAAAATGTAAACTGGGATGGTTTTCCTCCACACCACTCTCCTTATCCATTGGTTTCCAGAGCATGGTGAAGCGTTCTGAAAGGCTCTTGCTTATGGTTTCAAGCTTATTTATATCACATAAACTCGCTTCCAGTTGGTCAAGGTTGGAATCAATGTCTGATACTACCATTTTAATTTAAGTTAAATTTTGAATATGCAGAAGTGAAAAAAAAATTTGTTACATATGTGTTATAATTCGTACAAATATGCAGTATTATATCAAGAACCACAACAAAATCTACAAAAAGCAACCGACAATAATCAAACATTATCTTCCAAGTCTTATAAAGCAAATAATGTTTTACTAGATTTTGTCTTCAATTTTGTCATCACTCGGCTTTAAAGATCACTTAGCAATTCTTCTGAGAATAATTACTGATAACCCATACTGCTGCAAGTCTAGGATAGTATGTAGGCCAGCGTAGCTAAAGATGACAGATTTCTTTCCCTAAATAAACCATTGGATATTTTTTATGGCAATTCAATTGCTGCAATGTCATTTTTACCAATATGAGCTTCTTAGATTTTCTTCCAAACTGCATTCAAAGTCCCAAGGTGGAACTTGGAATCAAATTATTGAATCCTCTGGATTCCAGTGGCGTCATTAAAGGGAGGGGCTACTTAAATCTTTACAAAGTATTGACTTGGGGCTTGCTGCTGAGTGACAACCACATTTCACCATTTGAGTATCAGTCACTACAGGAGACCTGCTGGCCAACTGGCAAGTTCCTATCAGTGCTGAAAGGGGCCTTTATAGATAGCTTCATAGATCCTCTTGGCTGGTCGCTACTTGTAGGCAGGTAGTCATTTCACACCTGACCTGATCGTGCGAAGAACAGCTAGGTGTCAAGGGTGTGATAGGTGAACCAGAATGTTGGCAAGTGTCAGGAAATTTTGAATCCTCAGACGTCTGTTGCTTGATCAAAATCCTGCCCCATGTGTTGCAAATTTCTGCAACAATTAATGTTACGATGACTCCCAAAATTGTTCATACTGGAAAATCAACATTCTGCAAATAGATATAGCATGATAATATACTGACAATTTGCCACTTTCTGGCTGTGATACTTATGTTATCTCCCAAAAACTTAGCTGTAGTACTGAAGAATTCAGTGAACTTTTATTATAGTTCTTGGTGCAAATATATGTATGTTGCAATCACAGAGGCTTGCATGGTTTTGCTTCAGTTAAGCAATTTGGATGTACTTTTTTAAGCTTTCCTCAGCATGTCATGCTCTAAGAGACCAAAGGTTAGTAAGATGGAGACTGAGAGAGTTTTTACCATTAGGTCACATGTCATGATGTGTTGATGATACCATGAGCACATCCCTTGAAAAGTTTTTTGCATATCTGCTGTCAGACAAAATGCAACGCAACGTACCAATGTTTAATGCAACCTCACCTTCCAGCCAGATGCTTCCTAATCCTCCTGGATTATCTTCAATTGATCCTGCATATTTGGACACTGTGGGTAATGCAGTGTGCTGACCTCAACCTGACTGTTAAGAGCTCAAGGGTTGGTTGGATCTATGTCTATACTGGATGTATCAGGTTGGGTGGCTGGATGCACATTAAGATGTTTTAGTTGAGAATGAGACTTTTTTTTCTCAAATTCCCTTATGAGATTTGGGCAGAACCTGCTATGTCAGTATTTATTGCTCATCCCTAATTGCGCAGAGGTCAATTAAAAATCAACCACAGTGTTGTTGGTTTAGAGTCACATGTAGGTCAGACCAAGTTAGGATGGCGGATTTCCTTCCCTAAAGGCTATTAGTGAAGCAGACAGGTTTCCACAACAGTCAATAATGGTTACAAGGTCACCATAAGGCTGGCTGTCTGTTCTATATTTTTGTTGAATTTAAATTTCACCATCTGCTACAGTAGGATTCGAAACCTTGACCCCACAAAACATTGGCCTGGGATTCTGAATTGCTAGTCCAGTGACGTTAACGCAACCATCTCCCCAAACAACCCAGCTTCCTCTACCATACCTGCAGGCATAGACAGAGGAAAAGAATTATATGATTATAAACAGCTTTCTTCAAATCACTAGCATTGAACTTTTGATGTGTACCAGGTTATGTGTCAGAGGTTATATAATTGAATATGTGGGAATATAAAGGAAGGATGTATTAAAAAAAATAAGCCATGTCCTTTTGCCTTTCTAAATTTGGAAGGTCTATTCATTGAATGGAGTCAGATGTTGCTGTCCTTCCTCATTTTGTGGATATCAGTCTCTTTTTATGAGATATCCTTTCTTTCACAAATAGATGTTAAGTATCTTTTGTGTGACGTTGAAGCCAAGAGTCTCCCCATCCCCATGTAGGAAGGTGCTCAATGTAGATACTGTGAAAACACAAACATATAGCTTGTGGGTGTTACTCATGGAAGGTTAACTGGATAATAGAAGAACCAGAACATGAAAGGTAAATTGCAATGGACACCCACAGACAGGCGAAAGGACCATAAAACATAGAAACATAAAAGATAGGGGCAGGCGTAGGCCATTCAACCCCTCAAGCCTGCTCCACCATTCAATAGGATCGTGGCTGATACCTAAACCTGCCCTCACCCCATGTCCCTTTAGCCACAAGAGTTATATCTACCTCCTTCTTGAATATACATAACGTTTGGCCTCAACAACTTTCTGTGGTAATGAATTCCACAGGTTCACCATTCTCTTGGTGAAGAAATTTCTCCTCATCTCAGATTGCAAAACATTTCCGCTTTAATCTTAATCTATGACCCTTGGTTTTGGACTCCCCTACCATTGAGAACATCCTTCTTACATCAAATCTGTCTAGTCCTGTTAGAATTTTATAGGCCTCTATGAGACCACCCCTCATTCTTCTAAACCCCAGTCAATACAATCCTAGCCGACTCAATCTTTCTACATACATCAGTTGCACAAACCCAGGAATCAGTCTGGTAAGCCTTCGCTGCACTCCCTCTACAGCAAGAATATCCTTCCTCAGATAAGGAGACCAAAAGTGCAAAGTATTCTAGGTGTGGTCTCACCAATGCTCTATATAATTGCAGCAAGACATCCTTGTTCCTGTCAAATCCTATCACTATAAAGGCCGACATACATTTTGCCTTCTTTACTGCCTGCCGCACCTAAGTGCTTACTTTCAGCGACTGGTGCACAATGACACCACTGTCTTGTTGAACATTCCCCTCTCTCATTTATAGGCATTTAAATAATAATCTACCTTTCTATTTTTGCTAACCAGAAAGAATGCGTGCGTAGATCATCAACAGCTGAAACAGTATATGAGCTCAGAACCATATCGTTAACAGTCATGATGGACTCATTGAACCCATTTCTAGAACTGTAATCACACCTACTGGATTGTACTGTCTATCACTTCCTGGCATGCTCTTCAACTACCAAGCATTAACACCTTGGCTAACAAAACTTTGGAAGCAAATAATGTTTAAGCCACAACAAAGTTCTCCCTCTTGGATATGCACCCAGTTCTGCACTCAGCACATAGACTCTGAGGACAAACGATCTGGTCCTGAAAATAGAGAGAACGCTTAGAGACCAATTAGAATCAGTTATTTGCTCAGTACACCACCTACAAGTGCGATAAGGGCAGAAAAAAAGAGACTATTATGTCATGAAGATTTTCTGAAGAAGGGTCTAGGCCTGAAACATCAGCCTTCCTGCTCCTCTGATGCTGCTTGGCCTGCTGTGTTCATCCAGCTCTACACCTTGTTATCTCAGATTCTCCAGCATCTGCAGTTCCTACTATTTCTGAGACTATTATGTCCATTCATTTTACTTACCAGAGTGATCTAATCAAACATAAAATCTACAATAATAAATTGTCCTTAATAAGGCAAAAGAGAGAGAAGCAATTAGTCGCACAAAATGAAATGCTGAAAACCTGAAATTAAACTGTAATTCTAAAAATACTTCAGCAGATCTAATCCCATCTGTGGAGAGAGAAATAGTTAATGTTTCATCAGAAATTAGTTGAAACTGTTTTGGATTTTAGGTAAAGGAATGTTTCAGGGCTTACAGAGCAAGGCAGCAAAGGGTAACAGTGCAAACATGAGCTGGTACACACTGAACTTATAAAAGAAAGTTAAATAAGCTTAACCACTGGAGTTAATATGCATTTTCTCCACTTCTCTTTGGACATGATTAGTTGCCAACAATCATAGAACAAGTGCAGGAGTTCTCAGGGCAGTGTTTGAGGCCAACTATGTACACTTTCTTCATTAATGACCTTCCCTCCAACATAACATCAGCGGTGGAACTATTTGCTGATGACTGCGCAACGTTCCGCTTCATATAAAATTCCTCAGATAATGAAATGGCCTGTAGCTCTATGCAACATGACTGGCCAACATCTAGGCTTAATTAAAACGTAGCATTTCCATCAAATGCCAGGCAATGACCCTTTATTATAGTAGAAAAATCAATCACTTCCTCTTGACACTCAACAGCATTGTCATCACTGAAGTACTCACCAACAGCATCCTGGGGCTGTCAGGAGCTTAATTAAATTCTGCCCACAAGCGTGGCTCACCCTGAGACTCCTCAGGATCTTTCCAAGCTCAACAAGGCACAGGTCAGGAGAATGTTGGAATACTCTGCGCTTGTCTGAATGGGTACAGCTGCAAGAAGCTTGGCACCATCCAAGACAAATCTTGATCGGATGTAGTGCAGTAAATTGTCGAGGCTTCTTAGACAGCACTTGTAATTCATTCCTGCGGCTAAACACACACTGGTAGGTAAAGTAAAATGTTACACTGGTAGGTAAAGTAAAATGTTACACCAGTATAG